TGCCCATGGAGCTGGATCTCTCCGGAAGCTTCCTACCTCCCGTGCGGCTTCCATTGGTTGGCAGCAGCATAGCTTTCTTCGAAGCAGACTTGCTCCTGGCAGGCACGGCTCTGCTCTTTGGGGCCGTGTTTTCTTCTGTCGTCGACTCTGCTTTCTTTGTCTTGGGAATGCTCCCCGTGGATGCTCGCTGTTGGGGTTTCGTATCCTCCTCCTCCTTCTTGTCATTTTCGGCGACCGCGTAATCGCCCGTCACGAGACACGCTAGACTCCCCGTGAACGTACTCCGTCGAGTCGGTGCATCTTCGTCGGGAGAATCACAGTCGCTTTCGTCGTCGTCACTCTCGCCGCCTCCAGCGTCTACAACGGCTGGCTGTTTCGCCTCCGTCTCTTGTTGCTTTTCCAGTTTCTTGGGCAATGCCACGTCCTTCTTGGCAGTAACACGTTTGTTCTTGGGAACATTCTCCTCGTCGTCGTCATCGTCATCAGAAGAATCCTCTGGTTGCTTTGTCACTTGGGCTGCTTCTCGTTTTTGTTCGATTTGTTGCGTCTTCATGACAAACTTGGCCAGACCACCCGAGAGACCCCCCTTTTTTCCTTGACTCTTGGATCGCAGAGGCATTTCACCCCCGAGCATGGCTTTTTTGCTGGCAGCACTCTTGGTTCTCCGAGGGGCTTTGGGCCGATCCAGCGTACCAGCACGTTGTTGTTTCGGTTTGTCTCCCTCGAGGGTATTGGATCGTTTCAATCCCGGCGACTTTTTGTTTTTCCGTCGTGGCAACATGCTGGGATCAATATTGAAATTATCTATTGGTAGCACGCGTTTTGGTGGTGGTTCTTCTTCCTTGTTGTTGTTGTTGTTGTTGTCATCATCGTCATGATGTTTTTTGGCATAGGCTTCCATTTTGGCCTTTTTGGCATTGAGTTTGGCTTGTTCTTGTTGCAGTAGTTGTAACGATTTGGCCGATGATGATGATGATACTTGTTTGGCCGTGTTATCGTCACGTTGTTCTTCACTGTGTTCTTGCCATTGATAATCGGCAGCCGAAGCCGAAACAGACATTTTGGGGTCTTCGTCGTCATCATCACTGTCACTACTATTTGTAGTAGTGCTGCCCTTGGGAAAGTGATCCTTCCATTGATACAATGCCGTGGCAGGAAGCGAAGCTCGTTGTGATTGTTGTGCCTTTGTTCTTGTTGTTGTTTTCTTTTTGGAAAAGTCAAACGGAGGTGGTGTTGGATTTTGATTCATTTTGGAGACCCGAATTCGAATCGATGTGCGAGAACTATCATCATCCATCATGGGTCCTTGTTCATCACTGGTGTTGCTGACATCCGAGAGCAATGCGGCAATTTCTTCTGCAGGCGTGGGTGCCTTTGGCATGGGAGCCGACTTGCATCGTTGCAGACGTGTCAGTGGCGACGCGGCGCTGTTGGTTGTTGTGGTTATTGTTTTGGATGCTGTTGTTTTGGTCTTTTTGGTGGCAGTCTTTTTCTTTTTGGTGGTGGCGAGACTGTCTTCTTTTTTGGAAGTAGCAGTGCCGAGTGATTTGGCCCTTCTCATGGTGGTCGTCTTATTTTTGAGACTGGAAAAGGACGTTGGTGGTGGAGTATTGTCACTATTGCTGCTGCTACTGCTGTCATCATCCATGAGTGCCGTGTCACTTTTGTGTCCCAATTCCATGGCTTTTTTCTTTTTGTTGGGTGTTTCGGCCGACAATCGTTTTCGTGCATCTCTCAATTTTTTGGCTCCACTGGCAAAGGGTGAGAGTATGGAATCTTCCTCATCGTCATCGTCATCATGGTGTGCATCGCCCAATGCCGGTATGTTGGGTGTAGGCAATGACTTGACTCGTTGTACCTTCTTTTTGACTTTTGTTTTGCCTTGTTTCTTGGTTGGTTTATTGTCGGAAGCTGCTGTATCTTCAAATCCCAAGGATGCTTCCCCATCACTTTCCGATGCAAAGGTAGCATCATCATCATCATCGTCCGTGTCATTATCATCATTATCATGAAGATCCTCCATGGACAAAAAGGGCATACTATGGGCACTTCCTCCTCCTCCAGCGGTTCCCATGGAAAGCATACTATGAATGCTTCCATTGAGTATGGAAGTGCGTACATCTTGCAAATACTCCTGTGCTTCCTTTTCATCTTGCAAAGCCCGTTGCTGTGCGACTCGCTTGGCATCTTGCGTGGCTTGACTGGACAAACTGGCCAATTCTTCGTCATTTTGTGGTTTGGTATCTAGCACGGCTTCTAGTGCCTTGTTGCGATTTTGAAAGGCTTGCCAAGATCCTTCTTCCGTTTGCCGTTCCAGACCACGTAAGGTCGCATCGTGGGGTTCTTCCTTATTATTATTAGTATCATCATCTCCATTGTTTTTGTTGTCGAGCTCCAAGACCAATTCGGCATTTTCTTCTTTTTGCGATGCAATTTCCATCTTGTCGTACCAAATCTCATTCAAAAAATTGGCTTCCATTTCTTCTTCATTGTCCGTGTTGTTGCTTTTGTCGTTGTCGGCTGCTAGTAGTAGTAGACATCGTACCGAGTCAATTCGTTGAATGGTAGGACCGGCTTCATTGAAACTCACCGATCGACGCACACCTCGTTTCTTCTTTTTTGTTGTACTACTAGTAGTAGTAGTAGTAGTAGTAGTAGAATTGGTACTGGTAGTAGAATTGGCGTTGTTGGCAGCACTCTGGTAGGCATTGGGAAGAAAGGAACTTTCATGGCTCACCATCTTGCTCGTGTCGTACATGTAAGATGGGGTACCGTATACAAAGGGTATATACCCAAGATAATCAAATAGATAATCAAATGGATAACGGATAACCGAGATACCCAACCACAAGATAATCAATAGCAAATGGGTATGGTAGCAGGGGTAGCTACTGTAGCAATTAAGCTTGCTTGGGAACCTGTAGCAGATGGGGTATCTGAGGGGTATCAGCTAGATAATAGTGATAATGACAGTATTCTAATCTGTAGAAGTAAAGGTTGGAGGAGGAGACCTTCTTGGCTTGTCTTCTACTACTATGATAGCTTCTACCTTTGATCAAATTTTGATGATTGTGTGATTTTGGTTTTGGTTTGGTTTTTGGTTTCAGTGTGACTTTCAAAGAATTTACTGTGGCTACCGAATACCGACATCATCAGATTCTGCGGGTACGCTACCAATTGCTACGGTACTGTACGTAGCTGTACAGAGACATCCGTTGGACTCCATAAAAACAAGACCGCTGGCATCACTGACTTTGTCACTGGCTGTCATCGCTCGCTCAAGTAAGTACGAAAGTGCCGAAAGTGGCCAAAACCTAAATTAATGGCTTTAATGATGTGAGTCACTGGAATACAGTAGAGAATGAAGAATTGAATTATCAAAATTAATTAATGACTGACATCAGACAATGGCATTCCTACTATTTCTCCGTAGACCCGCTCTGGCTACCAAGATGTATATGCACTTTCGGTACCGTAACCCACTATAATAATCACACTATCAAGAGCTACTAAGTCCTCTTCAACACTCACGAGTCATTCACAGACAGAGGCTCTTTTGCACCGAATGCTTCAATACATCTGCGTTATATCCTACTTCTAATACTCTCAAGTGTTCGCAAAATAGAATGACCAGCATCCGGTTTTGTTAAAAAGACGGACCGATTTCTTCCATGATTGCACGTTCTTTCAAATGACGGAACAGAAACCAACACCATTCTCAAGACACTCTCTCAAAGACTCGAGACTCGAGAGCCCTTAAAGACAGCGCCGGTAGGATCTTTTTTAAAAAAAAATACAACGTTGAATGAAATTTGCCGTCTGTAGTCTACATGTACCTTGCCATGACAGCATGATTGTGTCCAGGGCAGTGGGTGGGTGGATCTCTGGCGTGAACGTCTCTAGAGCTATTAGTATACTGGTTTCGTATCGGGCGGCGTGCGAGTAAACAGCCAAAGGTGATCTTTCCAGCTCCAGGTAATAATCGATGGCTGCGTTATTGCCTTGCTACTATTCTCTACTTGTAGCTACTCGTTAGCAAGCTAGCTTATTATGATAAGAAGAATGGGCACCAGGCACCACGCAGCACACAGCAAAAGCTGCAGTTACCTTACACGTGCGACGACTGGCCAATACTACTACCGTATGCATACATGTATGAAGCTAGCTACTAGTAAGTAGAGGGGCAGCAGCCAGTGACCTAGATGCATTCACGGCCGGTAGTACCTTGTAGCTGCCTGCCTGGCTGCTACATCATGTCCATGGCGGTTTCTGTTACAAAGAAGAAAAAGCCACCCAGCCAGCCAAGCAGGGGTGGGGTGTTGGTCCCCAATTGATTTGTTGCCCTTGATCACACGAGGGGTGGAGAAAATCAATGCCATCCCATGCTGGTAACCATTGCTTTCGGTCATGAAGCAGCTCATGAAGCCAATGCTCACAATCACCGATGTCAACCACTCAACACTAATGACCTCCCGGTTAGCTTTCTTAAATAAATGACGAAAGTTTCCCGATAATAATTGACACTGGTACTAAACTTCCGACATTATCCTACAGTACAAGCGCACTCAAACGCCGGCAACCAGTATTCCGACATTGTCCGAGATTCAACGTTAATTAGTTATATGCTATATGAGTTAGAGCAGGGTCATTTGGATTGAATCAGCATTTGTCGTGAGTGTTCCTCGAACCACCAGTTGGTCAAGACGTCAAGACAAGCACCAGCTACGTGTATGTAGCGAAGGTCCCTTCCTCGACTCGACGCTCCACTGCCCCATCACCACGCAACTATTACACTCGATGATACCGTTACTGGCACTGCAGGCACCGTACCTAGGCAGTTCGGAATCCGCTTCCCCAAGCTGATTCTCAAAAGGGCTTACCGGACAGCCAAGAGCCCAAGAATACCACTACTAGTACCGGTAGTAGTGCCAGTACATGTACCGGTATTGATACATTGACGAGCGACAGTCAGTTGCCTGCATCCACTGCGATTGCAGCGCCCACCAAGAAGACGCATCCCAGCGATGCAGCTTGCTTGGATTCCATAGTAGAGCCATGTATGAGTCATACCCCTACGGTTGGTTTGGACAGCGACATCATTCTGGACTTGACAGAAACGTCAAATCACCATGGCAACAGCAACCATAATGATGATGGGCAGGCCAAGCCTATTCTCGGAACCTCAAGTACAGCTTGTACAAGTCAAGAAATGGTAAACGAAACGGTACAGGAACCAACTCTCACAACAGTGGCAGAAAAGGAACCCAAAAAGGACACTCCTCTGCGACCGCCAACTACTAATACTACTAGTATTAGTAGTAGGGCAGAAAAGGAAACTAAAAAGGACGCAACGTCAAACGAGAAGAGTGGGGATCATTACCAGCAGCAACCTAAGGACGATGTCCGTGAAGAAGAAGAAGATTCCGATTTGAGAATGACAACAACAACCTCCAACAACCACAGCACCTCGTTACAAGTGTCGGCACCAGCAGCACCAGCACCAGCAGAATCCGAGCCAGGAGCATTTGCACTAGGACCAGGATCCCTCGGTCGTGAAAGTAGTTCGCATGCCACTACGGTAGTGTACAACGACGACGACCAAGACCACGATGACAACGATGGTTCGGTCCTCATCAGGAGCAGACAACCGTCCGTCGAGCCTGAACCAGAGTTGGTCACTGCCTTTATTGTGGAGGAGGAGGAAGAGAGTAGTAGTAGCAGTAGTAGCAGTGAGCCGGGAACAATAAAGGACTTGGAAGCTGTCAAGGAGACTATTCGGCAGCAAGTACGAGAGGAAATCATGCAGGATGTTGTGCAAGCAGATCACGTCGAGGTGGCCCAACTAGCCCCGCAAGATGATGATGATGATCCTGTCCAAAATGCACAAGACGGAGCCGCCAAGAAAAACCAAAGGATGATGCTTCTAGCTGCCGGTGGTCTTGCAGTTCTTATATTACTCCTGGTCATCGTCGTCATCATTTCAGCTGTTGTTATTGCAGTGTCCAACAATAATAAGTCGTCGGAGGAGGAAGAAAAGGAAGAACAAGAAGCACAGACGTTGGTCGTCCCAATAAGCACCAGTGCACCCACTCTGTCCTTTGACTTGGCGCTCATTGAAGGATTGCCAAATTTCACATTGGCATCATTCCAGGATCAAACCTCCCCGCAATCCATGGCCTACCAATGGGTAAGCAGTGACCCTGACATCTCTTCCTACAGCAATAGTAGACGTCTTCAAAGGTTTGCCCTGGCCACACTCTACTTTGCTACCCAAGGGGGCCAGTGGAAAGATCAAAACTGGCTCCATTATGGGGTGGAGAAAAATGAGTGCACATGGTTCACAAGGGACGATGACGAGCAGTATCCTGAGTATTCATCCCAATACAATCTAAATCCTTGTTCCAATGACATGGAGTACATGTTCCTCACACCATGGGACAATGGCTTGGCTGGGACTCTACCACCAGAGTTGAGTCTGTTAACGAAACTACAGATCATGGACTTGTCAGCCGATCCAATAGCTGGAACCATCCCAACAGAGTTTGGCCTTTTAACTGATCTGCGACAGCTCTGGTTTTCTGACGCGCTGTTGACAGGGACAGTCCCAACAGAGATATTCTCTTTGACAAAACTGGAGGTTTGGGGGGCGCACACAAACCGCTTCACTGGCGGGATTCCCACAGAAGTTGCCCTGCTTACAAGATTGGAGAGGCTTTTCTTGTACGGTACAGAGTTGGGGGGGCCAATTCCATCCGAAATTGGAATGCTTTCTCAACTCGCCGAAGCCCACTTGGATGCCAACCAATTGACGTCAACCATACCCACCGAGTTGGGATTGGCAACATCTCTCAAAGATTTCTTTGCATATGAAAACAAACTCACAGGCCCACTGCCATCAGAACTGGGCCAGCTGCAGGGTTTGGATGGATTGCTTCTGCATTCGAATCAGTTGACATCGACCATCCCGAGTGAACTGCAAGGGCTGCCCTTTCTTTCCCATTTGGAATTAGATGACAACTTTTTGGAAGGAAATGTGGACAACATGAGTTTTGCTAGCCAACAGTTCATGACTTTTCATATCCATGGGAACAGCATGTTAACTGGAACGATTCCCATGGGGCTTTGCATGCTGGAAGATGCTCTTGAGTTTGACTGTACACCCGGGCATCTCTGTGGCTGCTCTTCCTGTGATTGTGATCTGTTTGATAATTCTACCGCCCCGGCACCAACAGGGAATGCCACTGATGAGGATCTGTCTGTTTAATTTATTTATTATTCTGCCAACATGGCATGTGACTTGGATGGCACCTTAATTTGAACCAGCGCAGCACGGGAACAATAGTAATCCCAGGAATAACCACAACTAGTGTATAGTGAGGACCCATCATCTCGACTTGGTATCGACATCAGCTTCAGCCCGCACAGGAATGGCTGCGACATTGAAAGCCGTTCACTCCCGTTATTGAAGAGACAGATTTGACGTCGAGGTTTTCTCTTCATCTCCTGTCTCCTGGCTACTTGCAGAAAGGTTTCTCTTGCAAAGCAAATTGGAATACATGGGTATGATTTGGTTGGCTTGGTTGCGCGCTGAGTGGTCATACAGTGCCTAGCTAGAAGAGAAACGCGAGTAGCTTATCGCCATTGTTGCCTATATTGCGGCCTATGGAACCTCTCGTCAAGCCAATGCGATGACAGGACAAACCCAGACCGGTACCGGTATACCAGCGTACGTAACCAGCGTCCCACATCCGCCGCAAAACAACCCGAACCAAGCACCCTAACACTAGTGTAGTACAGTAAAAGATGACCCCATGGACCTACACGTGGCAAGATTCGATTCTGTCGATTGGAGGACGTCCAACAAGCCCAATTCTTACGTAGATTCACTACTGAGATGGCTTTTCACCCATTAACTTGTTGAAATTTCGTCTTTATTAACGACGGCTTCCCTGTCGACTAGCTAGCTATTTAAAAGCCACTTGAATACTCAGTAAATCAACCAGAACGAGTATTAATTAATAAATATACAAAATACAAATTCAACCTTCACTTATCGTAGATCCAGTTCGCGCACCGCCGGCAAATGATCTACTAGTACTTTTATCATAAGTGCTGGGAACTTTAATTGTTCATCAGCCATGTACTAGCTAGTGCCGGTGGTACTGTGCGTCCGTGCTTCCCTTCCCTACTCGAATACTCAGTAGTACCATCGGAGTTGCCCCGCTTGGCCCTTTAAGTCAGCGGGAGCTGCGATACCTCGGCAGAAAGACAGATAGAAGAAGGAGGATCATGTTCGAGATTGCACCCATCTTTCAAGCCTGCCCTGGCGACAACACCCGACTACGTCGTGTGTTGCCGCCCGGTATCATTCATTCCCTCATTGCAACCTTCTTTATTAAGCTAGCCCTGGCGACAACACCCGACTACGTCGTGTGTTGCCGCCCGCTACTCTATAATTTACCAGCTGCCATTCCCTTATTGTAACTCTAACCTTTACAACTCCTGCTGGCTTATTGTGCTGCTGTGCTGATTGCACTAACCTTAAATATTAATGATTTATTCCTACCCCTAACTTGTATTGAACCATCAATGTTCAGTTTTGTTGGCTTATGACTATCTCTATCCTTCTACTTTGGCTTCGCCGGAATAGGAAATAGGAAATAGGAAATAGGAAATAGGAAATAGGAAATAGGAAATAGCATTAAAGGGGTTGAGAACTCAGGCAGTTTAACTGCCGAGGTTAAGTCGGTATTAAGTCGGTAAGCAGGTTCGTTTTTACCAGCCAGGGACTAAAAGACTAAGTAATACCTATTACCTACCATATACCGCGGTACCGGTAGCTTCGCTCTCCCGTAGCTCAATTTTGCAGACACACAACACCGCAATCGCATTATCGTTTTCGAGGATCCCGCAATTGCTAGCTTGTGTTCGAGTGTTGATTGCATAGATACAATGTCGCCCATTCCTGACAAGAGTGTCGTCGTCCTAGTAGCGAGCAAAGGTACAAGTGCCGATACCGGTACAACCCAACAGCCAGAGTCAAGGTCGGAGATAGTAGAAGTCCTTGATCCAGGCACAAATGCTACCTATCGGGTAGCCCACCTGCTCGGTCTAATGATCATCACCATACCACCCCAACGAATCTTGAGCATGTATCATGTAACCTATGAGGCTGCTGGATTTGTGGCGGCAATGCATCTCAATGAACGGAATTCTTCCATTGTGCCCGATCTGGCCGAACGAATGAAGGGGTGTGACATCAAATTCACATACGAAATGGCAGATTCTCAATACAACAGACTGGTGGCTCTCAAGACGGTCCAGCAAGTGGCTACTCGACCAGATATGAAGCCAGGGCACACCTACTCATCAGATCAATGGATGCCAAGGCCTACTGCTATGATTGGTGCAGCCGCTAGCTCAATATCCTTAGCAGTGGCCAACTTGGCAGGCATTTATCAAATACCTCAAATCTCGGCATCTTCATCTGCCACGGCTCTGGATAACAAGGTGGCAGCTCCGTATTTCTCACGGACATACCCAACCAATCAGGCAGATGCAGAGGCACTCATGATCTACTTCAAGTCTCTGGGTGTCACACATTTCGGATGCATCTATATGCGTGATCTCTACGGTTCTTCCTTTGGACAAGCCGTCGTCAGCGCGGCCGCAGAGCATGGCATTGAAATCTATTTCACAGCCTTTGAAGCGGGTGATGACCAATCACTCAAAGAGGGGCTGCAGTATCTCAAGTCCACGCAGGTCCGGTACTTTTTTGCCGTCGTGTATGTGGACTTAAGCGAAACAGTGTTCCGGGAAGGGTACAATATGGGCATCATGGGTCATCCTGGGTACACATGGCTGCTTGGGGACAGTTCATCCTACTTGGCTTCTGGAGACCACACTGTGGATCTTGCAACAGAATCAGATATCGCCAAAGCCATCAATGGTGTTGGAGTTATTCTTCCTGGCATAGACATTCACCCCAACCTTCAACAGATTATGGAACATGACTTTCGTACCAATCAACAGCTCCAACAAGACTTTGTGGCTGCTCATCAACCCAACCTGCATCGCTTTTTCAAAGAACTCGATTTTGAGACAATGAAAACTTCCATTTTTGTTGGAATGGCATATGATGCTGTCATCTCGGTTGGCTTGGCTGCATGTCAGCAATCCGAGAGATTCTTCTCACCAGAGCAACTCCGGACTGGAATTAGACAGCAAGCATTCCATGGAGCCACAGGTTATGTCACCTTTAATAATTTCACTGGGACAAGAGATCTACTCGGGCTTCGATATACCATTACAAACGTTGTCGTCGCCGATGATGATCAACAAGTCACACCCGGAAGAATCAGTTTCGATGCCACTGCCCGAACAGCAATCGAGTTTCCTTCCCAGGTAGTCGACCTAGGTCTGGGGCCCTATGTCTACACAGATAACACCACAACAACTCCTCCAGCCCTGCCCCATGTGGATGTCGATATGAACTTCATCCCCAGAGGAATCCAAGCCTTTGGGTGGGGACTGATGACATTCATCATCGTCCTCTCTGCCTGTTGTATTGCATTTGCTCAACACTACCGGACAAAGCAGACAGTTGCAGCTGCCCAGCCAGCCTTCCTCATGATGATCTCCAGTGGATGCTTGCTCATGGCTACTGCCATTCTTCCAATGTCACTCCAGGAGCCCATCCCAGAATCAGGACTGGATATTGCTTGCATGTCCCAATTATACCTTGTTTGCATTGGATTTTGTGTTTCATTTTCAGCCTTGTTTTGCAAGCTCTACCGCATCAACAAGCTACAGCAAGGGGCAAGCCAATTCAGGAGAGTGACCATTGATGTAAAAGATGTCATGTATCCACTTGTCATCATGGTGATGCTGAATCTTGCTGTCCTCGTTGCATGGACAGTAGCTGATCCATTGAAATGGGATCGTCGTGAGCCCGAGCACGCCCGAGATGAATTCAATCGAACCATTGCAAGCTATGCTGTCTGTTCGAGCAGCAATGAAACATTTGGGAAAGTCTTTGGCACCCTCCTGTTTGCAATCAACTTTGTTGCCTTGGCATTGGCAAACTGGGAAAGCTATAAGGGCCAGAAGCTACCAAGCCATGTTAATGAAACCAGGAGAATAGCTTTTTCCATGTTTTTCCTCATTGAGGCTTGCTTGCTTGGGATACCCATTCTATTGGTTGTTCAAAGCAATTCAACTGGTTCATTTCTTGTCAAGGCGGTCTTGATCTTTTGGCTTTGTGCAGCAATTCTGGGTCCCATGTTTTTGCCACTTTGGAATAAGCAAACAGGGAGGGAATCATTGACACGATCTGTTTCAATCCTAAGCTCCAGAAATCTAACGAACAGATCTTCAGAGAGAGTCATGTTTCCTTCAAAGACATTCCATGTTGGCATGCAGCATCAACAATCATCTACAGCGCTGTGGAGTCTGGACAACACGCAGTGAACTGACATGTTGACTGGCTGGAAGATGGGCTTGAGTTCGACTGTACACGGGGGCCATCTCTGTGGTAGCTCTTTTTGTGATTGTTTCTGTTTTAATAAAAAGAATTATTCCACAACGTACCATTGCCTTGCCTTGCGTGCCTGGCCTTGGCCCCTCAACGTTGTCTACAGCAGCCTCTCGCAGCTTGAATGAATCTTCAATCATTGCGTAACGCAATTGACGTGATAGAAATGAGCTGCATATTAGAGTTTGGGCTAATCGTACTGCATTGGCACGAGAGCCAAGAACTGTGTCTCAACACCTCAACACACCGATCGACCATGGCACGAAATCACGAGCACCTGGTGAATTTATTTTTGGATCTCGTCTCGAGGATCCTGTGATTTTCAAAGAAATAGGCACGGCATCTGGTCAAGTGTGAAGCTTATCGGACTTCTATTAGAACGTTACGCAACCATGAACGAAAAAGCAAAGATACTCCAAAGCTAAGAAAGGAAAGACAAATGCCCACTGTATCTCTTATTATTCATATTAGCTAGCTAGGGCAAAGTCCAGTTGAATTCACGAGCAACTTACTACTACGCGGCAGCGAAACAACCACAATGATGATGCCAAAGCTCTTCTTGGGCTTGAGCTTCGTGCTACTCGGTTACAGTGTGGTGGGTGCCGTCAATTTTGCCCGAGCTTCTTCCAAGAGAATTATTCGAGAAAGGCAACAAAAGCAGCAAGATGGTATGCAACATCTTCGTCGCGAGAATCAACCGGACGGTGCGGAGTATCTAGCCGATATCCTCGAGCTGGAGGAAGAGGAGGACCCGTACGATGATCTCAAGGATGATAGTACCCATACGTCTCGCAAACTCGAAGACTATGACGATGACGAATACGATGACGACGGGGAAGAGTACGAGGAAGACACGGATCCGGTCTTTTTGGAGTCGGCACAGGCAAAAGATCTACTAGACGCCAATGTCATTTCCACAGCAACCCTGACACCCTTGATGGAACAGCTCGGTGTCGAAGACGTGGATGTGTTGATTGTCGGTGCTGGAGCAGCGGGTCTGAATGCGGGTTACAACCTAGCCAATAGCAGTCGCAGCTTTGTCATGATTGAAGCGTCGGAACGAATTGGAGGACGGGTCGATCCAAGGCACATTGAGATTTGGAATGGTCAACTACGAACCCTCGAACAAGGTGCTGGTTGGATCTCAGGCGGTAAGTTGTCCACTCCGGGCAACATTGGCAATCCACTTGCCGATTTGGCAAATGAGACGGATGTCAAATTGCGTGGGCACAATCAAGATTTTGAATACCAATTCTTCGACAACGCTGGCGTCCGAAAAGAAAATGAAGAATGGTTTGAAGACTGCACAAAGACAGCGATTTTCGATCAAGTGATTAGGGAAGGCGAGGAAATGTCGAGGCTCTGTGTGCAGAACATGAGTACCAGCATGCTCAAGCACAAGAAGGACACCTTTTGCCGGCGACTCCAGGACATTGACTGGAAAGATATCAGTGTCGAATATCTCTTTCGGGAAACATTCGATTTTGACAACAGAGGCTGTCCCGGCGCTGGACGTTGGGATCCCAAAAGTGACGACACGGGAGTTGCTCGGGCTATTGAATCCTTACTGTTTGACTTGATGATGGGCGATACAACCAAAGTGGCCCATGCAAAGAGTCGTCCCGTGAAAACCTATGACCTCTGGGGCAACACCGAACGGCTCACTGTCGATCCTAGGGGCTTTATCCTGCTCCTCAAGAAATTGGCCAGCAAATACCTAAAGGGAACCAAGAAATTGACTCAGTCCAGAAAGCTTTTTGACTTTGTTGTGGAAGACGACAGGGTACGGCTCAACACCAAGCTGGTCAAGGTGTTTTCAGGTCTGGATGAAGGAGGCAGTGTCCTGGCATTGGTATGTGACACCCGTTACATTTTGGAGGATGGAATACGTTTGTTCCCCTGCCGAAACGGAATCCAGCACTACAGGTTCATCAAGGCCAATGATCTTCTCAGCACAATTTCAGTGGGTGTCTGGGGCAAGTCGCTCGAACTGGACAACGACAAGGTTTCTTTGGCCGAAGGTGTTAACCTTGCCCCACGATTCTATCCGGCCCTGACTTCGACTACCGCTGAAACACAAGGCGGCTTTACCTACCACAAAATGGGGCTCTATACCAAGATTGCCATTGCCTTTGAAGAAAAGTTTTGGCCCGAGAACGAATACTTCTTGTCGGCTGCATCCGATGGAGACTTTCTGGGTGACTTTGCTCCCTTGTGGCAGAACCTGGACCGTCCAGAGCTCTGGCCCGACTCGAAACTCCTCCTGTGCCTCACGTCCGGTCCACGAGCCAGGGACATTAATTCCAATCTTAGCGACGAAGAGACTGTGGAGCAACTCTTGGGGGTGTTGAGCCAAATGTTCCCCGAGCAAATCAAGGATTACTACGGACGCGACCACCTTACAATGGACGACGCCTATGATTACTTTGTCACCAACTGGCACGTTGACCCTCTCTTTTGGGGATCCTTTTCTCTCATGAACGTTGGCATCAAGAAGGACGACTGGCCTGCCATTACTGGGGAACTGCAATATGGCGAGACGACCGGTATCGAGGAATCTCATATTCTCATTGTAAGTGTCAACCATGCATGCATGCATGCAGTACGGCGTGCGGCTTTTGCAATTAGTAGTACAAGCTACCGGTAGTATTGGATTGTGTTTGGATGTGATGCATTTCTAACCGTTTCATGTCAATACCTTTTGTGTCTCAATAATTGGTGCAGAGCGGAGAGCATACTTGTACGAATTTCAAAGCCTTTTACCACGGAGCCCTTTTGGCCGGCGAACGAAGCGCCCATATGCTGATGGGCAAAGCGGATCCTTCTCATATTTGTGATGAGTTTCCAGGGAGTGATTCCATGCTGGTATAAATAAGAGCGTAGAGCCTTGATTGGTACAGCACCATGCATTCTGCCCCTCCATTCATACGGTAGTCCACTTATTGGAAGAGGAGTTCAATGTATTCCCAAAAAGCATTGGATTACTTTGGACGTCACGACTTTCATTTTACTATAATAGTACCAACATATGTAGCTATCTATTATATACGAACCCAGCAAGCTAGAGAGGCAGCCGATATTCATGCGTGTCGTTTTTGCTGTCTGTTTTGATCCGTGTCCATATGATTCTCAACCATGCCTAACTTTAGAAGAAGATCTATGGCTGTCCCTCGGCACAAGAGTCCCTCACTGTTGAAACGACGCCCGATGTTGGCTTCACAATCCCATTTTAATTAACTCCGTGAAAGTCTGCCCATGCACCCAGTGGCTGGAGTGCTGCCTGCAATGTGTTTTGGAATCGACTTTGGAATTTTTTGGATCCTCTGTATTACCGTTATATATCCACCTGCTGCTGTTGGCTGCTCGTGTCGTTGTCTTCTGCTGAAAGAGGCTTCTTTGCTACGATGGTGTGTACTTCTTGGTCCATCATGGGATGCATACCGATTTGACGAGGAGTTTGGTTGCCATCGTGGATGATGAGTTTGTCTTGATAGTAGAACTCCAGTGGTTGCAAGGCACTACCAGTACTACTACTAATAATGTGCGGCCCCGCGAAAGCCACGGTTCGTCGAAAGGCAGCAAACGCGTGCAAAAAAGGAGTGCTGTCTTGGGGTACCTTGTAGAATGTCATGGAGGGAACTTGTTCAAGTCTACAGTATTGAATCTCAAACGAAACGGTTTCGTTGTCATCCTCGTCATTATTGTCGGTCTCAGCTTGATCACACCGTTTTCTCTTACGACCTGTAGTACTACATGTAGTACCAGTAGTAGAACAGTTTGGGAAAGACCAGATATCCAGATCTACATTGTCGGGACCAAACAGAGCCGTGCACTTCCGTAGCGTGTTGCTTTCTCGTTCTCTACTACTGCTTGAGGAGTCGTAGTCCATGACACGACCAAAGCTGTAGTTCTTGCAAGCTTGCGCGTACAGCACGGGAAAGAGCAAATGCTGACGCCACACCTGATCCACCGCCCAAGGAGGCACAAGCTTGGTGCCACTCCAATCTTGCTCTTGCAACTTGAGTTTCATGAATTGACGATACCCCCACAACGCTTTCTCCCAAAACGAGGCGTTCCAACCCAATTCTTCCAAACGGCACATCGATTCCAGCGCCTCTGGGATTTCAAAGTCAGCACCAACATCATTCCACACACTATTAGTACTGGTAGTACCGGTAGTAGTGCTACTCGACATACTATGTACTAGTACGACAACAATACAAACAAACTGGAACAACAATGACGGGAACAATCTCAAAGGATAGACTACTATAGTAACGATCTGTTCGAGTTGTCGCTTGGGGTCAGTTTTGTTTCGCTCAGGGGATTTTGGCGAACAAAGCTTTTAACCTCACCCCTATACACCCGCAGAGTGGATTTTGGAAGAGTTATAGGGCTCGATCAAACGTGGATACCACGCAACCTTTCACGCCACCGCACGAAGTCGATCCCCAGCTTTGATCCACCTATACGAACCGCCAAGTCTGTTATGGCCTTTGATCGACCCGTGCAACGTGCAACAGAGTCGACGAGATTGTGCGATTGCACCGAACGGAAGAGGATATATCGAGGTTGCCATGATGCGTACGATATGCCGGTATGTTGGATGAGGAGCGAACTAACCAAAATGCCAGCATGCAGGGTGTGGAAAAAGGCTGTACAAATCAGGTGGGACGAGTGGCGGGGAAGCAACTCTCGAGCTCTCGTAGGTACTGGCGGTACTCGCATACTTGTGGGGCTCAGTCATCCTTGAGGGAATTGATGACGGATGATTCAATCCCACAGAACATGCCCCTGGTTTGATACTAATTATCCTAGTAGTTTTTAAATAGAGGTTAGCACACTTCTGGCTGGCTTCACCCACAACTCAACTCTTAGTATCAACTGCATTCCACAACTTCTAGAAACAGTTACATAAATAGTCATTGCATGTGCATTCCACAGGAAATGGATCTGGAGCACAATCCACAAAGATCCAAGCTATGCCTGGGTTGGAACATAGACTGCTAGGCACACTTCCTGACAACCGGTTGTCATGCAGCTCCAGATTCTGCAAATGTGACAATGAACCGAGCTCGGCTGGAATGACTCCACTCAAATTGTTGTCACTCAAGTCCAAATAAGTCAGCGCAGTCAACAATCCAATTTCAGCAGGAATGGTTCCAGTGAGACCTTCACTTGACCGATCAATGCTGGCTGTAGTGGCAACACTGTAGGCTCTGCCAAATAGCTCAATCTCCGGTATGTCAGTAGGCCTGGGAGTTGGTTGTTTGGTTGGATTTCGTGTTGGCTGTCGAGTTGGTTGTCTGGTTGGATTTCGTGTTGGCTGTCGTGTTGGATTTTGTGTTGGCTGTCGAGTTGGTAGTCTAGTTGGATTCCGTGTAGGCTGTCGAGTTGGTTGTCGAGTTGGATTTTGTGTGGGCTGCCGAGTGGGCTGTCGAGTGGGCTGTCGAGTGGGCTGTCTAGTTGGATTTTGTGTGGGCTGCCGAGTTGGTTGTCTAGTTGGATTCCGTGTCGGATGTTGAGTGGGCTGTACAGTAGGATGTGTAGTTGGGTTTGCTGTAGGCTGTTGAGTGGGACTGGTTGTTGGTTTTGACGTCGGTTGATAGGTGGCAGTTGGCAGTGGAGCAGTGCTGGAGGAGGTTTGCGCTGTTGGGTCCAGTGTTGGCAGGCTGGATGGTGAATGGGTTGGTGGGTCCGTACAGTCATCAAACCCAAACCCAATTCCAAGTCCAACGATACTCCCACCTTCGCATGGAACCGGAGCTGCAGTGGGATCGCCAAGACTGGTACCAGAAGGGTCAAAGATGAAGCAAGAATCGTGGGCTCCTTCGCTCCAACGGAAATCTGTATGGACTGACACCAATGGGAGTGCCCTCACTTCACCCGAGGGAATGCCACCATCTGGTCCATAATGATTCTCGACCAAGCAAGTGTATTGTTCTCCCGCCAGGACTGCATATGAATTGTTGTCTCCACACTCAAACAGGTAGTCAGAATATGATAAAAAGGTTCCATTGACAGCATTCTCACATTGGACTCCCAATTGAAGGAGATGAGACACATATTGATCTTCTGTGGTTCTGCAAATGGAATCAGCCGATGTGTATTCCACCAAAGCCTCTGGGATGGCATTGGTGGTATCACATTGCTTCATGGTCATCGACAAGAAGAGAATTTGTTGGCAATCAATCAGTGCATGGCATCTGGAAACTAGAAAACGGAGCATCCAAAACTTACAAAAACGGCTCCACTAAACTCATTGACAAAGTTCGTCGCAGAGGTGTCCTGGCATTCTATTTCTGTATCACTAACAATGGTGCAATTGACATTGTCAGCCAAGGTGTCCACCAAAGAAACCCGACCATTTGGACACGAAAGGCGCTTCATGGCATAATCACCACCACAGACAGTGGTATCCAATTTGAGTTCCCAGTTGGCTTGGAAGATGGCAGAATATTCCCCTGGCAATACATGGGCTATGAGTTCCTCTTTGGTTGGTTCGTCAGGGACAGGTACATCAGTCAAATTCTGAATGCAATCGTAGAAATTATGATGATCTGCATAGACAACAAGGTCCGCAAAAGTCAGAGCGCAAGCATCTCCATTGCAGTTGGTTCCATCCAAACAAGTGTAAGCTCCGTCAAATTTGGCAGGTCTGTTTTCCAAACCACATTCAAAATCCTTGTCATCAAAAGCATAAGCACCAGTGCCATGAGAAATACTACGGCAGAATACTCCCAACTGGGCAACATGAAAGTTGTTGGTCGTGTTACCCATGGCAGCAGTACAAGATCCTGGATTGCCCCCAACATAATTCATGTAGGCATCAACACCTTCAGGATCCTTTCCAAGACACTGAAATACGATTTCTCCAAACTGGCCACTGCCAAGACTGCTTTGTTCCAAAAAGATGGTATCACATGACGGTTGTCCCATACCACCACATTCATTGGTACACTGCATTCCAGTCCAGTTTCCGTCAGTTGCTGGAGTACACTGAATGGCAGCATTGGATATGGACATGGTGAACATGGAGCCAAAGCAATAGAGTTCAATGATTGGGTTGGGTGCCGTACAGAGGCTGTCCAAGAACAGCTGGAATCGGGCCAAATATATTGCTTGAAAGTTGGCAGATCCCTGCAATTCGCGATCTTGACGATCCGCAACATTGTGCTTGATCCATCCAGAACCTCTGGAATAGTGAAGGGGGTATTCCTTCGTAGCAGTGTTCGCGGGAGAAGAATCGGCAGAATAGGCAGTGGAGGCCAACCACAAGGCAAGCAGGAAAGGCAGAACAACCGTCATCATGGCTTTCTCTCTCTTCTTGGCAAGAGTTAATGAGACGGCCGAGGAGGAATGATCCAAGTTAAATGTAGACGAGTTCTCATATGTCAAAGCCACCTCGATCTTGAGTTCTCGAATGATCATGAGTGAGAGCATGCATACGGGAGCTGTTCAAATTTGAGGGCGAGTCGGCGAAAACTAAAAGCATTTCGTGGGTGACATAAGCAGTACTAGTAGTTGTTAAATCCTTGAAATTCTTCATTTATTCGATCCTGCCAGTTCCCTACACGAAGCCTTATTGAAGGAGTCGCGGCACTGGTTTCGCTCTTATGAAAAGTTCTCTGCTCCGAGTGTTTCGTAAACCGTTTGCGCTCACATTTTTCAAGCGATTTACATGGTCGAGTCATTGAAATTCGCATACTGATGGTAGTCTAGAGTATTTTTAAAAAAAGTCTTGCATCGAACAGAGCGTTTACTACTAGTAGGCTAGCAAGCTAGAGTTGTGTGTTTGGGATCGGGAGAAGATACAAAGTTGGAAGAGTTAGGGTTCACTCAAACGTGGATGTTGGTTCGAAGTCCTCCACCTGGTTGTTCCAACAAACCTGTGCCAAGTCTGCCTCCATCCGAATGAAATGCCGAAATGGACGTCCCTTTACGGGGAAAAAATTATAACGGATATGGTGTCAATGGACAATCTCTCCCGCACCGCAGCAGAAGCCTTGGGCAATTCCCCCTACCATAGCGAGGGTTCTTGATCTCACAGAAAGGTAGCCAACAACGGACGTCCCTTTACGGTTGTGCATGCCCCACAGAAAAACCTAACTGGCCGAGAAGTCCTGTGCTGGATGGGTGCGGCAGCGGTACGGTACCTAGCACCTACCGTATTGCTCCAGTGCATGCAGTGCTTGTCACGACACAAAAGTGAATTGGAAATTGACCGAGAACGAAAACTTTCCAAAGGGGCTGCCAAATATCCTTTCGGAGGACAGCAGGCAAGGTGGGGTGCAATGAGGATACTAAATAGATACATCGTACCGTAAGGAGCGAGGGGGGGGGGGCTAAGCTAGCTACCAGTACCGGTACCGGTACCAATAGGCCGAGCACTTGCATCATTATTAAAAAATAGCCAAACCTTTGCCCCCGTAATGGTCCTCAATTTCTTGCCCCTGATCCCACAGAACCTAGTCCTGAATTTCGACTGTTCTTTGCTTAAGCCTGGCCCCGGCTGGCTTCCATAGCTAATTTCCCTACTCTAAAACCCCCTTATATGTTTAAAAAATAGTGGATACTGCTGTGGGTGCTACACCTTTCAAGATTATCCGGTTATCCCTAACCTTTTATTTGTGACACCAACAACAAGGCAATCGCAATTGCAGCCAACAGCCACCTCGACGACTCGACTCGAGTACATGTACATCCACAACTCCGATCGACGAACAATTGCGAACTACAGTACGGCGACTCCAAGAAGACACAACTTCTACGTAGCCAACCACGCAATCCAGCTATCCACCTATATATTGCTCTTAGCCCGAGAACAGGTCTGTTTAACAGTTGATAAACAGATCTTTGAAGCAGCAAAGTAGTCGCATATATTCCTCTTGCAACCAAACCACAAGCACAAGGATATCATCTACTACTACTGCAGGATAGTAATACTGGTAGGCACCCCACGTGGCCGACACCAGAAATGTTTCGAAGAAAGGGACCCGCTGTGGAACCAGAGCACCAAGAAGACCCTGAAGGCATTGTGGTCGATGCCGAAGTTGAACCCGTCAGTGCATATCTTGTTGATCCATCCAGGTATTGCCTGCCAGATACAAGCACTCCTGGTGGGAGACGGCTCTGTGCCATTATTGTTATCGTGCTGGCAGCAGTACCAATAGCAATTACAGGAATTCTATGTCGATCTGGAGTTTGTGATTCAAATAGTGAGCCTTTGACGGCGTCACCGTCCAGTGATGTAACTAGTATTCCCATGTCACCACAGACTTGGACAGTTCTCCCAACACAGCTACCAATACAGAACCCCCCTACATTGCCATCATTTCCTCAACTCTCAGCATGGCAATCCTCTAACCCATCTGCTCAGCCTTTTTTGGATGCCACAATGAATCCTACAACCATTCCATCAATGGATCCTACAGCCATTAGTCCAAGTGTCAATCCCAGCAACAAACCCTCATTTTTGCCATCGACAAATCCAACAAAGATGACTAGTGGCAGCCCCAGTGGCATCCCTTCAACACAACCGAGCAACCTGCCAACTACGAATCCCACTACCATCCCGTCGACAATTCCAACTACGAATCCAACTACCAGCAGCCCCACTGTGGCTCCTTCTACAAGCAGACCAACCAATCCTCCATCCAAAAGAACGACTCTTGACCCAACAGTGCAACCAACTGCCAAACAGCCCACTCCCAATCCAACCACGAATCCCACCAGTAGCCCATCGACAAATCCAACCAAGCAACCTACTACCAGCAGCCCCACCTTGGCTCCTTCTACAAGCAGACCAACCAATCCTCCATCCAAAAGAACAACTCCTGACCTGACAGTGCAACCAACTACCAAACAGCCCACTCCCAATCCAACTACAACTCCACCCTCTCTCAGCCCCACCGCACAACCCACGAGTCAAGCCACTATAAGGCCACCAGGGGCAGTTGAGCTATTTGGCATATCCTACGATGTTGCAAATGCTACAGCAATTGATCGACGGAATGCTGGTCTCACTGGCAGCATTCCTTCTGAGATTGGATTGATGACCTCGTTGACTCGGTTGTGGTTGGATAACAACCTGTTGAGCGGAGCCATTCCTTCAGAGATTGGATTGATGACTGCTTTGAATTGGTTGTGGTTGGATAACTCTCAGTTGAGCGGAAACATTCCTTCTGAGATTGGTTCCATGACTGCTGTGTATCAGTTGATCTTGTTTAACAACCAGTTGAGTGGAAGCATTCCTTCTGAGATTGGATTGATGACCTCATTGGATGTGTTGCAGTTGAAGAACAACACGTTGACCGGTACCATCCCTTCTGAGTTTGGATTGTTGACCTCATTGGATTTGTTGTGGTTGGATAACAACCAGTTGAGCGGGGCCATTCCTTCTGAGATTGGATTGATGACTGCTTTGATTCGGTTGTGGTTGAGAAACAACCAGTTGACCGGAAATGTGCCAAGTGAGATTGGATTATTGACTTCGTTGATTTGGCTTCCTTTCTACCTTACCATTCCAGCTGAGATTGGTTCGATGACCTCGTCGACTGGGTTGTCTTTGGAAGACAACCAGTTGAGCGGATCCATTCCTTCTGAGTTCGGATTATTGACCTCATTAGCTTATTTGCCCTTGTCTAGCAACCAGTTGAGTGGGAGGATTCCTTCTGAGATTGGATTGATCAGCAACTTGAGAAGTTTATTGTTGCATGAAAACCAGTTGAGTGGAATCATTCCGTTGGAGATTGGATTGATGACTGCTTTGACTTCGTTGTCTCTGTATGACAACCAGTTGAGTGGCAGTGTGCCCAGCAGTCTTTGTTCCAACCCAAGTCTGGTGGTAGTGGTTGATTGTGCTCCAGATCCATTTCATGTGGAATGTACATGCGGTGGTGAATGTAGATGTTTTTAATTCAATTTCTTCTTGAGTAAATAATAATAATGTGTATTACTACGACTAAGACGGCTATCTACATTTCTTTTTGGGTACAGTACAAAGTTATAGAGCGACGTGATCATTCTGAGCTTATGCTCTTCCTGCTCTCCCTGCCCTTCCATTCGTGCGTTCTAGATGAGTGTGAGATATACCTACGGGTACATTACGCAGACTCAACCGAACCGAATCACAGGCAATCATTCATTCTTGCTTGCTTGCAATCTTCCGGCCGACCAAGAGGAACGGAAGGTGTCAGGACAGTGTTCTGCTGTTCTGCCCCGGATTATAGGCCATTGGGATGATGCAGAAGGGAGGCAAGTTAACGCAAGAGCGGTGTCACGCGTGTTTGTTGTGGGAAGCTTATTAATTGTCAAGGATCGATGGGCCATTGCTGTGCACTGACGTTTGCAGTGCTGACGTTGCGGCGTGGATCGACCAAGTTGAAGGATCTGAAACTTCGCGCCACCAATAGCCCCAGTCACAGATGATACTTCACGGAGCTTTGGTAAAATTATTTCACAAAACAAATCATAAGAACCCTCACCTACCTGTATAATAGTTGCAAGCTGCTGCCAATGATCCAGTTGCTGATGGTTGTCCCTTCGATCCATCGCATTTTTGGTTTCGCAGAACATTTTTATTTGATCCTGTTTTTGCTTTTTGGTTGGTTACCTAAAGAAGAAGCAAATAATATATAGTAAAGGCACCATGATGTTTCGTTCGTTCAGCATCGTTGCCGCGGCGATCCTCCTGAGTAATAGCATGGAGGATGTGTCGGCGTTTACTCCCACTCGTGGTTCCCGTCTTTCGTCGTCGTCGTCATTGTTCCTGGCCGACACCGCCGCCGCCGTTCTTGAAAAAGAAGTCGTTGCGCCATTGGAAGAAACGACTACTACTGCCACGAAGAAATCGGAGAATCAAATTACGCATTTGCAAAAGAAACTGCGTTACTGGAAACAAGAACAAAAGAAGAAGGAGACCGAGTACAAGTCGTACCAGTTGCAAAAGACAGTGGAGCATCACACGAAACCGATTTATCGACGAGAAGGCAAAATCGATCATTACTCGATGCGTCCCGTCTACGATCAACAGACGGAGCGAATTCAGACCGAAGTGTGGAGCATCAAGGAACAGATTAAAGTGACGCAAGCCATGCTGCACGAAGAACGGCGTGTCGAATCGGTCAAGAAAGAAGTCGACGACGAAATTCAAAGTTTAAAGGCGCAACAGGAAGAATTGCGTCAACAAGCGGCGTTGCAATTGCAGTCCATGCAGGAAGAATCCACGGCCCGCTTGACGGAAAAAGAACAACAAATTGCCGCCGTCAAGAAAGATATTCAACAATTGTCGCAAGTCTTGAACGACAATCGCAACGAATTGCAAAACAAGGAAATTTGCTTGGATTCGCTCGAAAAGGAACTCCATCAAAAGGAAGCCATTCTGCATCATCTCAGTCGAGAACGAGCCAGTATTCGAGCATTGGTCAAAC